CAAAATTACCTATTGGCGTGTTATTGAGTACCTGGTGTGTGACCAGGTACTACCAGTACTACCAGTGCAACCACCAACAGTAGCAGTCATCATTAGCAGGGGGGAGAGGTCACCAACAGCAGGGGGGCGGGTCACCAGCACCAGTGGGGTCACCAGCACCAGTGGAGTCACCAACAGCCAGGGGGGTCACCCACAGCCACAGGGTCACCAGCACCAGTGGAGTCACCAACAGCCAGGGGGGTCACCAGCACCAGGGGGGTTACCAACAGCCAGAGGGTCACCAGCACCAGTGGGGTCACCAACAGCCAGGGGGGTCACCCACAGAGTGGCTGTTTCCGCTGACTGAAGAACAGTTACACAGCCAACGCCCCAATCCCCCTAAATATTATCAGCTTGATTTCGGAAGCGATTCAGAGCCTTAAAGTAAGGCCAGCTTAGCGCCCGATAACTTAACTCCTATGTTAAATTAGCGGAGCAACAGCCACCTCACAGTCATTATGAGGACGGCTGTGAGTTGGTGGAGGGTTGAGGCAAGGAATGGTGAGTGATGGGAGGGAGGGAGGGGGCGCAGGGGTGATGGGAAGGCAGAACAGGCGGTAGGAAAGGAAGAGGAATGGGGGGAATCTCGCTCTGGAGCCAAAATGGTGTTGTTTGTGTGTGTGTGTGTGTGTGGAGGGGGGGGGATGGGATGGGGGGTTGGTCTTTGAATAGGGGAAGGGAAGGGAAAGGTGTCGTGGGGGGGAGGGGGGTGTTTGCCTCAAGCTTTTCCTCCCCTTTCTCTCCTCGGTCTTCCCTTTCATCCCTCACCCCTCTCTCCCCGCTCCGGCCATCTTCACTCCTCTGGGGCACGGGTCCTCCCGACAGACGCGACGGAACGCTGCGCGAAGTACGCGTAAACCGCGAGAGAGTTACCAACTGGCGGGGGGCGAGGTCAGGCAGCGGGAGACTCACTTTCCGCGACGAGCAGGAGAGAGAGAGAGAGGGGGGGGGGGCAGAGAGGGGCAGGCACTGGGGTGAGAGGAAGGGAAGGAGGGGGGGTCAGGCCCACACCGGAACGTCGTGGGCGCGCGCGCCAGGCAGCCAGTGCCACTACTACCGTGAGTGAGCGAGGACGCGCTCCTCAAGATACCCGCGTCGGCGCGAGTTATAGCTAGCTCCCCCTCGCGACCTGCCCCGCACGCACGGGGGGAAACCTACAACTTCCCCTTTCCGGAAACCCTCATGGCAGACTGTCAACCTCGCCAGCACTAGTGGCAAGTTTCCGATAAGACTTCAGTGATTGTACGAGAGATAAAAAATGAGTTAGAATAACCGACAATTCGGATTTCGATTGTCGGGTTATTTCGATCTGTGTTGGCCTTTTATAGGGCCTTATCAGCAACCTTTTGTCGACTAAGGCCTTCGGGTTATTTGATTAGAAACTGGTCGGAACTGCAGGACTCAATCGTGTTTGTTTTTTGATTTAGAAACTTTTAAGTTTACCGCGGTGATTTGAGTCACTTTAGTTGGTAGAAAGATTTAAGGCAGTGCGTTCGTTCGTGGGGGGAGGGGGGGAGGTGTGTGTGTGTGTGTGTGGTGGGGGTCTTGTGTGTTGGTGGGGGTCTTGTGTGTTGGTGGGGGTCTTGTGTGTTGGTGGGGGTCTTGTGTGTTGGTGGGGGTCGTGTGTGTTGGTGGGGGTCGTGTGTGTTGGTGGGGGTCTTGTGTGTTGGTGGGGGTCGTGTGTGTTGGTGGGGGTCTTGTGTGTTGGTGGGGGTCTTGTGTGTTGGTGGGGGTCTTGTGTGTTGGTGGGGGTCTTGTGTGTTGGTGGGAGTCTTGTGTGTTGGTGGGGGTCTTGTGTGTTGGTGGGGGTCTTGTGTGTTGGTGGGGGTCTGGTGTGTGTGTGGTGGGGGTCTTGTGTGTTGGTAGGGGTCTTGTGTGTTGGTGGGGGTCGTGTGTGTGTATGTGTGTGTTGGTGGGGGTCTTGTGTGTTGGTGGGGGTCTTGTGTGTTGGTGGGGGTCTTGTGTGTTGGTGGGGGTCGTGTGTGTCGTGTGTGTTGGTGGGGGTCTTGTGTGTTGGTGGGGGTCTTGTGTGTTGGTGGGGGTCGTGTGTGTTGGTGGGGGTCGTGTGTGTGTATGTGTGTGTTGGTGGGGGTCTTGTGTGTTGGTGGGGGTCGTGTGTGTGTGTGTGTGTTGGTGGGGGTCTTGTGTGTTGGTGGGGGTCGTGTGTGTTGGTGGGGGTCGTGTGTGTTGGTGGGGGTCGTGTGTGTTGGTGGGGGTCGTGTGTGTTGGTGGGGGTCGTGTGTGTTGGTGGGGGTCGTGTGTGTTGGTGGGGGCCTTGTGTGTTGGTGGGGGTCCTTGTGTGTTGGTGGGGGTCTTGTGTGTTGGTGGGGGTCGTGTGTGTTGGTGGGGGTCGTGTGTGTTGGTGGGGGTCGTGTGTGTTGGTGGGGGTCTTGTGTGTTGGTGGGGGTCTTGTGTGTTGGTGAGGGTCTTGTGTGTTGGTGGGGGTCGTGTGTGTTGGTGGGGGTCGTGTGTGTTGGTGGGGGTCTTGTGTGTTGGTGGGGGTCTTGTGTGTTGGTGGGGGTCGTGTGTGTGTATGTGTGTGTTGGTGGGGGTCTTGTGTGTTGGTGGGGGTCGTGTGTGTTGGTGGGGGTCGTGTGTGTTGGTGGGGGTCGTGTGTGTTGGTGGGGGTCGTGTGTGTGTCGTGTGTGTTGGTGGGGGTCTTGTGTGTTGGTGGGGGCCTTGTGTGTTGGTGGGGGCCTTGTGTGTTGGTGGGGGTCTTGTGTGTTGGTGGGGGTCGTGTGTGTTGGTGGGGGTCGTGTGTGTGTATGTGTGTGTTGGTGGGGGTCTTGTGTGTTGGTGGGGGTCGTGTGTGTGTACGTGTGTGTTGGTGGGGGTCTTGTGTGTTGGTGGGGGTCGTGTGTGTGTATGTGTGTGTTGGTGGGGGTCTTGTGTGTTGGTGGGGGTCGTGTGTGTGTATGTGTGTGTTGGTGGGGGTCGTGTGTGTGTGTGTGTGTGTGTTGGGTGGGGGTCGTGTGTGTTGGTGGGGGTCGTTTGTGTGTGTGTGTGTGTGGGGGTCGTGTGTGTGTGTTGGTGGGGGTCGTGTGTGTGTGTTGGTGGGGGTCGTGTGTGTGTGTGTGTTGGTGGGGTCTTGTGTGTGTGAGTGTTGGTGGGGGTTGAGTGTGAGTGTGTGTTGGTGGGGGTCGTGTGTGTGTGTGTTGGTGGGGGTCGTATGAAAAGTCCCCTTGAGAAGGGGTCCTATATATAGTCCTAGAGCAACAGTGAAGACTTACAGGAAAGAGAAAAATATGAAAGATTATAAAGAGAATGATGACTGATAAAGATTAAGCCACCCAAGAGGTGGCACGGGCATGAATACCCCGTCATTTTAAAGAGGGGAAAACATGTAATATATAGGACTTCCCTTCCCCCCCCCCATTTCCCCCTCCCTCTATCCTTTCTACTCTCTCTTCACCTCCACCCCCCCCCCCCACACACACACTCAATTTCCCATTCTTCTTTGCACCTCCCCTTCCAGCCTAATACCTCCCCTCTCTCATCACTCGACCATCTCCCTTCTCCCCTCACTTAACCCCTCCCCCCCCCTCCTTGACCACAGACGCCACCTCCCATCACCCCCTCTCCCCCCCCCCCTTCCTCTCACCACCTAGTCTCGGACCAACTATTAATGTCTTGCTAATTGCTTCCACCATTTATCATGTGGGATATTGTCGCAGGGTGAGAGAGAGGGGGGGGGAGAGAGTGTCACGCATTGAAGGGGGGAAGTGTCACGCGGTGAGTGGGGGGGTGGGGGGAAGTGTGACAAATGAGAGGTCAGTCACGGGTGATGGAAGATCTACGAAATCTACTGAGTAGTACTTTCTTAGTTGTACTTTCTTAGAATAGAAAGGGAGAGCTGTGAGGGTGATTGTGTCAGTCAGAGGTTATCTTGAGCTTATCTTGAGATGATTTCGGGGGATACCAGGCCTCCTATCTGTTACACAGCCCCAGGAAGCAGCCCGTAACAGCTGTTCAACTCCCAGGTACCTATTTACTGCTAGGTAACAGGGGCATCGGGGTGAAAGAAACTCTGTCCATTCTATTTCCGCCTCCACAGGGGATCGAACCCCGAACCTCAGGACTACGAATCCGAAGCGCTGTCCACTCAGCTGTCAAGGGGGGAAGAGGGGAGAGGGAGGTAGTGTGATAGTAATCTGATGTCGCTTTGGGCATAATGACGCTGTAACTTGATGTGACCCGTAACCCCTGACCTAGTTTGTTCTGTAACCCTTGACCTGACTTAGACTGGTCAGAAAGTGTCATTGACCTGACCTAGCCTGGTCAGAAGTAGCATCGACCTGATCTAGTCTGTTCAGAAAGTGTCATTGACCTCACCTAGCCTGGTCAGAAAGTGTCATTGACCTCACCAAGCCTGGTCAGAAAGTATCATTGACCTGACCTAGACTGCTCAGAAAGTATCATTAACCTGACCTAGCCTGGTCAGAAAGTATCATTAACCTGACCTAGCCTGCTCAGAAAGTATCCTTAACCTGACCTATGCTGGTCAGAAAGTAGCATTGACCTCACCTAAACTGGTCAGAGTGTTTCCTTAACCTGACTTAGCCTGCTCAGAAAGTATCATTGACCTCACCTAGACTGCTCAGAAAGTAGCATTGGCCTGACCTAGCCTGGTCAGAAAGTATCATTGACCTGACCCGTAACGATCCTTGACTCTGCACCCATCTCCCTCCTAGTGACCCGTGACCTGATATGACCCAACTTTTTTTTTTATCTTGACTGACGAACATTTAATCTTTAACCTTCTAGTATAGCTTCTTACCGCCATATAAAATAAAATGTACTCTGGATAAATAAACTATTTATTACTCTGTAATAAATGGATAGTACTCTATAAAGGCTAACTGACAAGTAGATAATTGGAAATAATCTACTTATCTTATTTACGTAAAGATAAACATTTAATTTGAGAAAGTATTTAATGAAAATTACTTTGCTTGCAGGCACAACTAAGAATGTATTAAGTGAACAAAACTATATTCAAGAGCGTACACATACATCAAAATAACAAAATAAAATATTATACTGTAGTGTCTGAACATACTGTAGTGTCCGTAGCGGGTGTCCAAGGATACATTACTGCAGTTGTCACTGCTCAGTAATAGAGTACTGTATAGCCGCGGCCGAAAGACTTGTATTTGTATTCGTCTGCCACAGTAATATTTCCAAAGATCCCGGTTATGCCAGACCGAGGTGAGAGTGGCAGCTGGCCCGTGGAGCCCGTGGTGCCCGTGGAGCCCTAAGGGCCCCACCAGTGAGGTCGCCCCCATCGTCACCGCACAGTTAGCGACCAGCCCCCGAGCTGAGAGCTTGGGGCCCCAGGAAGATTGCCAAGTACGTCGTACTTGGAGATCAGAGCATCTCTTAAGAGGCCCCGAGCGCCATGTTAGTGTGATAAGAACCGTGTTCGAGACGCTCATCACTCGCGTCGGTTAAGGGAAGACAAGATAGTCGACAAGACATTCCGGAAAAAAAGCCCTTGAGAAACAGACCTAGAGTCGAGAGACGAAAGCGACAAGTGTTCGTAGCGACTTCCGCCACATAGTCCAAAAGTGCGTAGCTGGAGGAATTAGGTAAAAGCGATGAAGAAGCCAACGACTACGAACGAACGAGTGCCTCCTATTTAATCCCTAGCGAGAAGCGAGCTAATATCTGGTCTACGGTTAGAGGAAGAACAAGCGACCAGTTCGCTATAAACTATCTCTCAACACATCAACACCCGCCTGCATCCAGGCCATTCGCAGCCGTCTGATCCAGTCATCTCACTCCTCGGTAAACACTATATTTTGGCGCGCCCGCCAGAAACGTGTTTTGGCGGGAACTGCAAGTAGGATTGCGCAGGAAATCGTGGAATATCCAGGAAAACAGAGATTTTTCATCTAGAGAGAGACAAGGTGAGTTGTCCGTCCTGCTTTTGTGTGTGTCTGCCTGCCTGCTTGTCTGCTGGTTTCTACTTGTCTGCTTCTTTATGTCTTCTGCCCCTGTATCAATATTTTCTATTAGCTGTCCATCTGTATTTGAAGTTCGTGTTGTTTGACGCTCTCGCTGGGATCTTTGAGCTTTTCATTTTCTTCGTCTTCTGAAATTATTATAAGATGCATATAACGACGTAGTACTTAGCATGCATTATCTATTTACCTACCAGCCTACCTACGTATCTATCCAACCCGTCCTCCTAAGGTTTCCCAACGTCAAGAAACCGGTCAATTTATAGTGTCCTTTCCTAACCTACCAGAGGACCCAAAACAGAAAAACGGGGACAGTACGTCACTTTCGCCAGCCGCTTCCATTTTCTAGTTCGACAATTTTTGCCTTTAGGTAACGTATACCCGCGAGAAAGCGACGTTCTTTGTAGGAGGACAGGCTGATCTATCAGCTTACCTGTCTACCTACATGCATGCCAATTAATCTGCCCACCTGGCTGCTAAAGTACCCGTACTATCCAGCCTACCGACCTATCCACCAATCTGCTAGCCCAGGTGCCGTTCTTATAGCCACCTACCTACCTACCTGCCTGCCTCCACAGGGGCCGACCTCCGTGAACTTCTGTAGTTTTAATAATACCTTCAGTTGAAGATGTGTCTTGATTATATTTATGTTTGGTTGGAGCACTTCAGTTATGGCACCAATGCATGCGTTGATCTCCTCCTCCTCGTTTTCTTTCCCTGTCTAATGGTAGGATCTCAATTCTTCATTTCTAAACTTCTCAATTCTAAGCATAAATGCACGGATTGTATGCGACCCTCTCACTTTTTAACTTTGTAAATCTTGTCTTATTTCTTCACTTCTAAGTGGTCGGGTCTTGTGCTACTTCTTCACTTGTAAATGGTCAGATCTTGCGCACCTTCACAACTTCTAAATGGTCGGATCAAGCTCTACTCCTTCACTTCAAGATAGCTAACTATCACCTCTCGTCTAAAGTAGACGAGGTGATTCCTTACGTCTTAGTTTCCACCCAGTGGGCACGACATCAAAAAGCAACGTTAATTCAACGTCGAAATGACGCTGATTCAACGTTGAAACATTATACAACGTCTGAAGAAAGGTCGCACGCACCCCCGCGGTGACACTGAAGGCTGAATTCATCACTATTTTGCACAAGTAATATAACCAGTTCACCGTCCTTCACTGTAATCTACTTTCTAATGAGGTCAACTGCCCACGTGTCCGCTCCCGTCAGATGAATTGATGATCACAATCTCTCGAGGCATAAATATGTAGCGTGATATTAAGACGTCTTGACGTAATAAATTAAGAACGTCATATATTACTGTCTTCAACATTCATGCCAAAAGATGGCGGGTGGTGCGTGAAAAGAATTCATACCTGCATAGTGGGGTCCTATATAATACATACAGACGATGACTGGTGTAGGATTATCTAAGGATAAAGGATTCGAACACCGGGCTATCTAAGGATTCCAATCTTAGATAGCCTGGTGCTCCAAACACGCTAGTGTATCCATTATGTTATCCACTTGACCATTGCAGACTTTACAAAAGTCGTTGATAGCCGAGGCTATTTGATACGCAAAGCGTGTGTTTGGAGCACCGGGTTATCTAAGGTTCGAATCCTTCACGAGGTTGAGTTCTTTAGTTACATATAACTTGCTTGTTTATGCAAGTGTCTCGTACACTGAGGCTCGCGTTCCCCCTCAGTGACTAATTTGATGATAACGATGATCACCAGGCTCCCAACATCACGCTGGATGATCACCAGGCTCCCAACATCACGCTGGATGGTCACCAGGCTCCCAACATCACGCTGGATGGTCACCAGGCTCCCAACATCACGCTGGATGATCACCAGGCTCCCAACATCACGCTGGATGATCACCAGACTCCCATCACGCTGGATGGTCACCAGGCTCCCAACATCACGCTGGATGGTCACCAGGCTCCCAACATCACGCTGGATGATCACCAGACTCCCAACATCACGCTGCATGGTCACCAGGCTCCCAACATCACGCTGGATGGTCACCAGGCTCACCAGGCTCCCAACATCACCCTGGATGGTCACCAGGCTCCCAGCATCACGCCGGATAGTCACCAGGCTCCCAACATCACCCTGGATGGTCACCAGGCTCCCAACTTCACGCCGGATAATCACCAGGCTCCCAACATCACCCTGGATGGTCACCAGGCTCCCAACATCACGCTGGATGGTCACCAGGCTCCCAACATCATGATCACCAGGCTCCCAACATCACGCTGGATGGTCACCAGGCTCCCAACATCACGCTGGGTCACCAGGCTCACCACGCTGGATGGTCACCAGGCTCCCAACATCACGCTGGATGGTCACCAGGCTCCCAACATCACGCTGGATGGTCACCAGGCTCCCAACATCACGCTGGATGGTCACCAGGCTCCCAACATCACGCTGGATGGTCACCAGGATCCCAACCATCACCTGGATGGTCACCAGGCTCCCAACATCACGCTGGATGGTCACCAGGCTCCCAACATCACGCTGGATGGTCACCAGGCTCCCAACATCACGCTGGATGGTCACCAGGCTCCCAACATCACGCTGGATGGTCACCAGGCTCCCAACATCACGCTGGATGATCACCAGGCTCCCAACATCACGCTGGATGGTCACCAGGCTCCCAACATCACGCTGGATGGTCACCAGGCTCCCAACATCACGCTGGATGATCACCAGGCTCCCAACATCACGCTGGATGGTCACCAGGCTCCCAACATCACGCTGGATGGTCACCAGGCTCCCAACATCACGCTGGATGGTCACCAGGCTCCCAACATCACGCTGGATGGTCACCAGGCTCCCAACATCACGCTGGATGATCACCAGGCTCCCAACATCACCCTGGATGGTCACCAGGCTCCCAACATCACGCCGGATGGTCACCAGGCTCCCAACATCACCCTGGATGGTCACCAGGCTCCCAACATCACGCTGGATGGTCACCAGGCTCCCAACATCACGCTGGATGGTCACCAGGCTCCCAACATCACGCTGGATGGTCACCAGGCTCCCCCAACATCACATCACCAGGCTCCCAACATCACGCTGGATGGTCACCAGGCTCCCAACATCACCCTGGATGGTCACCAGGCTCCCAACATCACCCTGGATGGTCACCAGCCTCCCAACATCACCTTGTCAGTACTTCCCCCCGTCAAAAAACTACTAACTAACCTTCAGAGTAAACATTTGAATCATTCAGTGCCCAAATTCCCTTCCTCCCCCATCCCCCGAAATCAATGTTAATCACAGGTGACAGTATTGAAGCACTCGGGTATGGGGTGCATAATAAATGAACTAAACTAACTCCTCCATCACGCCTTCCACGGCGCCTGGGACTCGTTCGTGCAAGCTATGATGGCTTGTGTCCGAGATGTTATTGGGGGATGGGGAGGTTGTAGGCCGTAGGCTGCTCCCAGACCCATATACACCTCGGGATCCCATGACATGTGTATGACGCTTCGTAAATTAGGCCTGTGATTCAAGCCACTACTTTTTCTCCTATCGTGTGGCCCTCTACGAGGCCTCATTTGAGGTCTTCGTTGGTTTACGAAGTGTTATGATTTCGTTTTTTTTTTGTTTTTTGTAACCTTAGTGGAGCTTCCAGTCAGCTCTTTTATTTAATGCTGAAGTTCTGGTTCACAACATCAGGATTACTATCACCACCACTAATACCACCAGTACCACTATCATCACCATCAACAGTTCTACCACCTTCAGTTCCACCACCATCAGTTCCACTACCACCACTTGCAGTATGGCAGTAGTTTTTATGGTCATTAAGCAAATAACTGGAACAAGTCGTTTTTTTTGGCTGTATGTAATGGAATTTAATGCTTTTTACGGTCTATGACAGATCGTTGGAGAGTGTTTTCTCGTCTAGTTAATTGCCTCGCGTGTGGGGAATGACATGATAGTTCAGAAGTTAATTATTTGGGTTAAGAGGAAAGTCTTCATTTACCGCGAGGATCACGATGGTTAGACAAATTATACCTGATAATTCGGTCTTGCAACTTGGCCTGGTCGGAAGAGAGACGGCCTGATGCCAGCCAGCAAAAACATGCTCGAGTAACGTTGAATCCACGTTAAATCGACGTTGAACCAACGTTAAATAAACGTTGTGTGTCCACTCCCACATGGCCGGTGTTTGATCCCGATGGTCCAGGTGATTGGGCACTCGTAAGCTTACAACAAACCTTTGCTTTCTGAGTGTTTAAACCGTTTACATCGTTAGTTTAAGATGCATTAGCTTATATTAGGCTGGTGACCAGACCACACACTAGAAGGTGAAGGGACGACGACGTTTCGGTCCGTCCTGGACCATTCTAAAGTCGATTGTCGACTTGGGAATGGTCCAGGACGGACCGAAATGTCGTCGTCCCCTTCACCTTCTAGTATGTGGTCTGGTCAACATATTTTAGCCACGTTATTGTGACTCATCGTCTGTATATTAGGCTGTTTTAGGCTCAAGTTAAGTTTGTTTTTGTGATAGGCTAGGAAAGGTTTGGTATAGGTTTTAAAAGCCATTGGCGAACAGTCATGTATACAATTAGTCTGGTATCCCATAAGGATACCAGACCAGAATACAGTCATATCCCTATGACTGTATTCTTCACTGGACTAGGGGTGAATACACTTTGTATAGAGGTGAATACACTGAGAGGTGTGTATAGGCGTGAATCCACTAAGAGGTGTGTACAGGGTTGAATACAGAGGTGTCTATATAGGGGTGAATACACTGACAGGTGTGTATAACCCCCTCCTCCTCCCTCCTCCCTCCCCCCCCCCCATATTTCCTGGTGTAATTGCACTGAGAATTTGCACCGCACAAACATATGTAATTATTAAAATACACATATACTAGTCCATCATTAAATTTGCTAGTGCAGTCAGGCTCCTG